CCTATGTGATCGACTTTGGGAAGGCATGTGATACTCACTTACCCCTTGTCAAGTTTTCCTAAAACAACAGTTATCACACAAGCATAAAGGCTGCTCCATTTGAAGCCCTCTATGGACAGAAGTGCAAATCCCCTCTGTGTTGGGCTGAGGTGGGTGACACATAGTTGGCTAAAGGACGAGTTCCTGACAGCACTCTCACGGGTCTGGAGATCATTCGGGAAACGCAAGAGAAAATCGTTCAGATTCGTGAACGATTGAAAGCCTCTAGGGATTGACAGAAAAGCTACGCGGACAAACGAAGAAAACCTTTGGAATTCCAGGTGGGAGATCGCGTTCTTTTAAAAGTCTCACCCTAGAAGGGTTTGATACGCTTCGGAAAGCATGGAAAGCTCAACCCAAGGTACATAGGGCCTTTCAAGATTCTCCCTAGAATCGGCCCTATAACTTACAAACTTAATCTACCCCACGAACTCAGTAATGTACATTCTACCTTCCATGTCTCGAACTTGAAAAAGTTTCTATCCGACGAGACTCTTGTAATCCCACTCGACGAGATCGAGATCAACGAGATCCTTAACTTCGTGGAAGAACTGGTTGAGATCATGGACCGAAAGGTCAAACGAACGAAGCAAAGTCGTATCCCGATAGTGAACGTTCGTTGGAACGCTAAGCGAGGACCTGAATTCACTTGGGAGCACGAGGACCAAATGAAATTGAAACATCCTCATCTTTTTGCTTAAGTTATTTGTAATAACGTACTTGCTTAAACTCTAATTTCGGGACAAAATTCTCTCTAACTGTGGGGGGGGGGGGGGGGGGGGGGGGATGATGTAACAACCTGAAATTTCTACCTTGTACAGTTATTCAAATCTATCAAAGTTAGAATCTTTTTGCTATCTTTTAGCACTATTTTGGGGTCTATTTGAGTGTTCTAAACCTAGTACAATCAAGGTAGGAGTCTAGAAATGGGATAACTCGATGCATATCAAGAAAACTTGGGCCAAACACTCCAAGATATGGAGTGTGCGGCCACACACTAGAGTGTACGGCCACACACCCCGCCCAGCCGCACACTCCCAGCCACAGAATCCTACCTATATATTCAACACTTTTTAACTTTTGAACACTTTTCCACTTCTTTGGAACTCAAAATCCTCTCAAGTATCATCCAACTTTTCACTTCAATCTTCAAACAAGTAAGTGATTCATCCTTTGATTTGCTATTAGTTAACCTTAACTAGCCTTCCCCTTTGCTTTGATCCATGAAAACACCTTTTTGGTGTTAAATCTTCAAAATCACCAAGAACACACTAAGTTTTGGACCTTAATCACCCTTTTCAAGCCTCTATAACGTTTATACACTTATCATAACTTGTTATATGCCAAGAACACTTGATGATATACTTGAAAAACACGGTTTTATCATCTTCATCAAGTGTGTGTGGCCGCACACACCATTTTTAGGTCCAAAAATGGCAATGAACTCCATATAAAGCTAAAGCATGAAGTAAGAAACCTTCCTGGATGAGTCCTAAAGCCTTAAAATACGTTTTGGCACATTTCTTAGTAAGTGTGCGGCCGCACACCCACTGAGGCCGCACACACACAAATAGGGTGTATTTTGACCATACACCCCTCATATACAGTCATATATGGGTGTAACACTTCAATATAAGTGTTTACTAGTCCCTAAGGTAGTTCCAATTAAATAATTAGTTATTATAAGAATTAATTGTATATATACATATATATATATACATATATATATATATATGTGTGTGTGTGTGTGTCTGTATGTGTGTGTGTGTCATTATATGGTTTATAGGATTCGTTTATGCTCAAGACTCCAATTGACACCCAACAATCTTATATCGATCTTTCATTCGAGTTACACACTACCGGTGAGTTCATACCCCTTAATTATTATATCAATCACACGTGATTAATAACTGTCAATCAAATAGAGTTTCATACTTTTCAAACTGTATTACAAAACAACTATTTTCCAAACATATTTTACAAACCCTTTTAATTACTAAATTCTTTATCAAACTCTTTTTAATTTATATCATTGTTAAATTCATGTCTATACAGATATAATTATATAAGTAAGATTTGAAGGACTTAGGACTGATAGCTCACCTTATTTCTTGTCCCTTGTTTGGTTGTGCACTTAGAGTACCCTGTTATTTGTCCGAAGGTCGTGGAAATCTTAGTTATATATTATGTATATGTGTTTAGATATCAGGGTTTTTACTTCAGTCCCATGCCTTTGGAGTACAAAAGGTATGCAAACATGTTAAATCATACAAACAACAGTCCAAGTAAACTATAATGGGTATAGTTTAGGAGATCACTACTTACTATTACAAGGATATACTATGATAAGAAACAAACATAACTTAATATTACGAGGAACAAACAAGAACATATACATATACAAGTACAGAGAATAGAATATATACATATACTAGTATAGAGAAGAGAACATATACATATACATTTACAAGTAAACAGAAGGAACATACCCCAACATAACTATTAGAATATGAGATTACTTCTACATGATGCAGATTTCACCGTTGTCATGTTTGTAACCAGAGTCTCCTAGAGGGAGAGCGGGCATTGTGTGTATAGATATATATGGGACAAACTATCCCACACCTTGATTGTTAGCTACAATCCCTTGCCAACCAAGCTTAGGGGTGACAAATGTCACATTTATTTCGACGTCTTTCATCGTCGTGTTCTACAGTCGTCAATCAATATGGTTACTAATCTCATCTTACCTTATAATTCATTGGCTTTAAGGTAATTAGTATTACGGTAGTTTCCACATACAAAACTACAGTACTATAAAATTTTCCCTAATACATTTATCTTGAAACGTTTTCTCATAAAAACGATAATGTACAAACTATGATTTGATAACGATAGCCCGGCTTGGAAAATATATACTCTTACAAACAAACAAACCGAACATTGGGTCTTGGTAGAAGACTGAAGTTTAGTAGAAAATATGGGATTTTATAAGAAGATACAAACATTGTACAAACAGTTTACGAACATTTTACCACAAGTAAACACTTACAAACTTTTACTACAAACTTATAACGAGAACATTTTCAACATACATTTTACGACATCAATGACACTAAATACTTATGAACTCACCAGCATTTTATGCTGATACTCTCTTTCAAAATAACTTTTATTCTCAGGGAACCAGTAAGACAAGTACACTCATGCAGCTTTTGAAGGACGGAGTGGATACACGACTTGTTTTTATTTTTGATTGTACATTTTTGGTGTCATTTAAACTTTACAAAGGAACACACTTGTTCTTAACTATTATATTAATGCAGTGGATGTTGTTGCTTGTTTTACTATTATGCATTGTTATGATACTGTACATGACGTCCTCCACCCCCGAATGTTTCCGCTAATTCGGTTTGGGGGTGTGATAGTAGATCAAGGACTAATAAGTGGATTCTTCTCTTTTGGATCAAGGATGTTGTGTGGAGTTGTTCGTCGAGCCACTTGTTTCTCGCTAAAGTCGGAATAGGTTTTGCGAGGTAGTCTATTGTTCAAGAGATGTCACAATAGATGTGATTCAGACCACTAGAGTCTCTGCTCGAATTGGCTTATGAGCCTGGCTTTGGAAGCTTGGATGTCAATGGTTGTAGGTGTTGGCATTGACGTGATTTCAACTCGTCTCGAAGGAGTCGGGTTTGCAGGACCCACAAGGGGTTACTTTGAGAGTTGAAGTGAGAATTGATATTGAAGACGAAATCTAAATTAAGTGGAGGAGAATTGTAACACCCAGTTTCCAAAACAGATCGGTTTAGGTCATCAAGGAGTCAAAGGCATGGTTTTTGGGTAAGACCGGGTGCCATGGGAGGTCACGACATGGTAGGTTAAAAATGAAACGCATATTATGGAGGGCATGTCATGACCTGACAAGAGGATGGTGACATCGTAAGGGTGGTTGCAGCCCAGGCCCACAAATTTTAGGGTTCTCTCCATGTTTAAGGATCTTATCTTATGACCTAGGATATCCTTTTCAGCCTCCACTCATTTCAAACGAAACTGTAGCCCCATTTGTGAGTTCTTTCTTAGGTCGAAAGTTGTTGTGAGAGTCAAATTGTAGTATCTTTGTCTCTGTATCTGTAAATAGTGAAAGTCTAAGGACTTTCGTTATCTTAATGTATTTACAAAGCATAATAGAGTTTCGTATGTCATGTCTAGTCCTTGTATTTTTTGGTCCCTGAGTACCATATAAATAGGGTATGTACTTAGAGATTAGGGGAAGAACTTTGACAAATATTCTCTTGTACTTGAATTCTCCAGACATCAATTGTATCATTCCGGACATCAATTGAACTAAAAAACAGATCTTATTTAGATCTTTGTGTTCTTACTTGCTTTCATTAATCAATTGGCTTAAACACATTTCATTTAACTCATCAATTATTATCAAAGCAGGAATAATTACTTTGATTAAAGAATTTGTTCACATTTTTTCGTCTTTTTGAGTCATTCTTTCCTACTTGTTTTTCCACAAGATCAAAAGCGTGATTCTTCGTTAAATCAAGTGTGATTATTCAATTCTTCTTCTGTTTTTGTCAAACCTCTTTTGGTCTTTTTCTGTACCACATTGCCTTTGCACATGATGTTCTTACCCAAGCTGATATGCTCACTGAAATCCATGTAGCACATTGGCACATACAAAATTTGAACATGTTTCCTAAATAATGTTGTTAAATTAGTTTCCCGTTTTACGGTATGTTTCATCCCAGAATTCCAATGTTTTCCTTTATTTTGGTAACTTCCATATGTTTTGACAATGCGTCCACCTATTTCATTGGTTGTTTCAGGTATCAAACTTTTGTGTTTCTTGTGTTCGTTTTCACTACTAATCAATGTTTAGTACAAAATGTTATAACACTCAAGGGATGTTTCTTCTTATTTTCCATCAAATGTTGTCTGGATAGATTGTTGTCTAGAAATATGATCTTTGTTTAATTAAAATGTTGTATGGAACAAATATTAAATGCTTGTATGTCCGAACATCAAGTGATATGAATGAAAAAAAACCAATTTGCAACCATAGACTTTGTCTTTTGTTTACACAGGCATATATATAGTATACCACTTCTTGTGCTGCTCAAATTTTGAGCAAGACTAATGGTTTGATGTGGACTCAAAACACAAATCAAACATATTAACACAAAGTTTTGATTCGAAAAATTACGACCTCGAATCTTTGAAATTCGGGTGCATTGAAGGTAGGAAACACAAAATAGAATGTAATCACCACATCTCTATGAGGAAAGCATCGCCGATTGATCCTACTGTTTCTTTTCTTCCTTGTTGTTAGCAACTGTTTCCTTCTCACGTGCTTGAGTGGCACTGGTTGGAGATGCCATTGACGCATACTTCTCGGTCTTCCCCAACACAATCTCGATCTAAATCTCATTGAAAAAGAGAGAGAGGACACACACAGAGAAAAATGTTAGTATTTATCAGTTTTCATAGTTTATCACCGGTTTAGATCTTTTGTAACGGATGCCTCAACATAATTCTACTGAAATTAATCTTGACAAATATCCGTCACTAAAGACCCATGTTTTGTTTTTGTTGTTAATGAACATCATTGTTTTAACATGCTTTGTAAAACTAACCCTGGCCTTTTGAATAAGTCGGCCCCTCGTTTCATCCTTCATGCCAATGGTGGATGTCACGACCTCTGTCGAAAACATAGTTTTTTTATTTAAATGATGATGCATTGTCATGTGAAATACAAAAGTAAATGTGTCACACTACGCTTACTTTTTTCGACAGCAAGTCCATTGTTCTTGAGTATCTCAGCTACTGTAACAACTGTAGTAATTGCTAAATATAACAAATACCAAGAATGAATCAGAATCCAATACATAATATAGAGTAACTAGAAATATGTGTATGTAATAAAGTAAATATTATTTTTTCAATCACACGTAACACATTTTAATAAAAAATGGTTATGACTTTTATGGAAATGAAAGAAGCTAGTATATATAAAAGAGAGAGGTTTACCCATTCCCAAAGCAGATAGCTCAACTTCATCATGTTGTTGAATGTACCTCTACAACATATATAATACATAAAAGGAAAAAGAATATGAATACAACACCATTAATCCAGATAATTAACCATAATAAATCATTAAAAACTATATGATTTTCATCTGAAAAGGAATTGATAATAAAACGGATCGATACATATTTTGTTATCGTTAACCTCTGTTGAAAAAACTCTAATTTCCATGCTTTCATGAGTTTCTATGGTTCGTCCTAAGCTACCGTGTTTCATGGGTGATATTGATAAAAGGGTGTCTTCTGCTTGGTGTTTTCCTTAGATATATAGTTATATAAACCTCGATTTTTCTTGTTTTGTAGTCTTTTACCAAAATCACGATTACAAAACATCAGACAACACATTCAATTTGGTTTATGATACTAAAATCCATTGCTGATTTTTAAGGAAAAAACAACATACCTTAGCAAGATTGACATAGAAGAAAAGAGGTTTTTTGGTGTTGGAGACTTGAATTCGGTTTTTCTTGGGATGTTCGGGGCTTGTGATGACAGGAGCGACGGCAGTTTCAGTGGTCATATCTCTCGCTTTTTAATGATCTCAAAGAGACACACGTAATTCGAATGTATTTATTATAAGTATGTATCTATATTTACTGCCTCGCTTAATGTATTCTGAGCGGGAAAACGTACAGTTGGGACCTGTGTTAGTAGAACCGAATAAATTTTAAGAAAATGGTGGATATATACGTACCCCTCGAGCGAGATCAAGGAATCGTGTTTCTGGTTATGTTTATGCGTAGTGGTTGACTCGGTAAAATGGCCATTTTTTGTGTCCCGTTGAACTTGAATGTACGGTTATACGAAATAAAAGGTGGTACTCATGGATTTACATTCTCTTTGTATTATTACCATGGCTACTTATTCGGAAAATTGAAGGTTCACGATTGGAGTAGAGTTTAATGAGGTTGACAAATGTTCAAATCATTAAGATCTTTTTTTCTATACTTGTATTATCAATTGAATAATATGAGTTTTGAATGTTTTTTTTATAAAGTTTATTTATCGACATGAAATTTGACAATTAGGCATGTTTTTTTGTTTAATTTATTGAATCTACTTATTGGAATAGAGTATTTGTTATTATTTAAAGTCGATAACTACATAAAAGTTCTTACATATTAGGCTAATAATCAATTTAGTTTTTATATTTTTTTTATTTAATTAAGTCCCAAAAAGAGTTAATTTTATTCATTTTGATCCTTTTACCGATCAACAGGTAATCTCATTTTTAAAAATTACATTCTGACTAAAATTTCAAATTTATTTACAAATTTGCTCTGAAATACACAATTTTGGCTCGAATATTAAATTTTGTTATAAATTTTGTCTAAAATCTACACTTTTAACCTAGATTTATGAATTTTGTTATGAATTTATTATAAATTTAGATTTTTGTAAATCTTTTTCTCTTAAAATTGTTTCGAATATGTTTTATTTCATTATAAAAGCATATTTATACAAAAAGGAAAACATTATTTTACATAAAAAACCTTATTTTTCTATAAAAAATATTTTTAAACGAAATATATAAATAGATATTTATTAAGTAATTAAATATGTACAAATCGGTTTTTATATAAAAAAAATATATACAAACATATATTTTTTAAAAGAAACATATACAAACATATATTTTATTAAAAATGCATTTGTATACAAACACGTATGTATAAACAATATATACAAACACGTTTTTATAATATATAGTACGGAAGTGAAAGGGTCATGGTAAGCATGACCCATGAGGGGTACTTTGGGTATTTCACTAACGGATCTTTGAAGAAATAAAAGTATACAGGTGTTATGCATGAGGAATTCAAAGTATATTCACTATATTGATAAAAAAGTAAAGCCTGTTGTTGGTAAAAACTAACATACATTCCCTATGTTGGTAAAAAAAAAAAAGTAAAGCCTATTGTTATATTTTGCAACTCAAATTGAATTCTTTCTCACACTTATTACATTTGCATTCCACATTCTTCAAAGCCTGGCATAGAATAGTAGTAATTAGCTTCATCTTTTGTATTGAAGTTTCAAAATCAGTTGTTTGGATGGTTCACTTTCCAAGCCCGCTAAAACATTAGGATATGAATCAACTAACGCCTGCAAACTTTAATAAAATTCAAAATATCGGTAAAACATAAACATGATTTTTGATGATTATATAATAATTTTATTTACAACAAAATGGCACAAAACTTTACTAAAGCTTATCTCTTCAGCAAATATGACTGAACCAAAAAAATGTTAAAAGTGTTATTTGATAATTTCCAAGAAACAAACCTGTATATATCCCAATGAGGATTCAAATCAATAACCTCCTACAAATAAGAAGCTTTTATCCTCATCAACAAAAGAAAATAACCATTAAAAGGTTTCATTACATAAAATTTCAGATGAGGCACCAATAAATAAGATGTAAGCATACACTAAAAAAATAACCATTAATAGGTGTAATTCACAAAAAAAATTCAGAAGAACGACCAATTAAGGAACCATTATGAGACAACTTAACAAATCAATTTAATAAATCATCCATTGAAACCATAAGAAAAGCTAACTTCCAAAAAAAAATAACAACAATAGACTCTAATACATTGAGAAACAGAAAATATTAGAACGACTAAGAATGGAAGTATCAATAGATCAAACAACAATTGCAATATTGAAGAAAAAAAGATATGCAAGTTGGACTTTCACGACTACAACTTTTTCCATTTTATAGAAATACTGCAAGCAACCATTACATTTGAAATAAGCATTGTACATTGGAATCAAATCATGAATGAAGGAACACATCCACATCAATCATAGCAATGTAATTTAATTTATTTATGTATCATAGTAATAGGATCTACTTCCATTTCATTCTAATCTAGCATTCTACTATTTTTTTTTTCTCTTAGAAAGGCAATGTATTTTGAAAATCAAGTCCACAAACACATACATCACAAACAGAATAAGAGGGGCATGCCTAGAAATTTCTAGTGAACTACAATAAGCTCTCCAATGATATGAACCAACCTCCCCTATTAGGAGAGCGTTATACTGAGAACAAAGATTTAGTCCAAACACAAGAAGCCAAGTAGGGTTCCAGATGAGATGTTTACAATACGAAATAAAGATGAGTATATCTTGTTTCAGTTTCTGTAAACTCTTAAATTAATTTTTTTTCTCGCCTACATCTGATCTGAAACCATACTTGGCTTCTTGACAATCTGATGTTATAATGTCTGAAAGGACACCTGTCATGGAGAAGTTAGGAAGATGGGCGTTATCTTGTTTTTGGTTATGAATATTCGCAAGTTGTAGAAGATGGAGCCATTGCTTATAAATGAAAAGTTTAGATGCTTTTTTTTAGAAGATAAGCTTCACAAAATGTTCTTTTATTTTATAAGCTTGTTTTGCAACCTTTTCTACTTCCCTTGCCCGTGTTTCAGAATGACAAAGAGCTTCGTATAAATTGCTTCGGCCCATATGAAAGGCTTGTTAGTTCCCCTCATTCTTTATGAACTATGAAAATTTAGAATACATTAGCACCTTAAGTCCATTTGGCGTTTAACTTACAATTAATCAACTCAAAAAATCCAAATATAGAGATGTAATCAAGATAAATGGTAAATCAAGATGTTGTGTTATCAATGGTATTCAAAATAAAATTTCATGAATAGGAACAGATCGAGCCAACAAGTTTCTTTGAGATTTATTTGATGAAAGATCTATTAGTTAGACATGAGGTGGTATCGATGTTTCATTTCTTGCCCCCACTAAACTTCCACCATAACTCGTTAGAGCATTGGGTGTGAGCAACAAAATGCACCATCAAGTTGTGCCACCTCACATGCCACAAAAGCAAATGGTGTTACAACATCAAGTGAGGAAATAGGCAACAAGAAACAACATCACAATTTTTGAAAATAAATATGTTTTATTTTTGATTTTTTTTTTCGAATTCGGTTTATTTTTTTCTTTTTTGTTTTTTCGTTACTAGTCTTTTTTTCCTTTTTATATTTTTTTTAATCACTAAAATTAATATATTTTTATAAAACATAAAATTTTAAAAACAAAAAAGACATAATATTTAAATTCTAAAATTACGATTACAATTAGAAAAACATAATTTTTAATCTAACATCATAACTAAAATACCATCCAACTTACTTCTAAAACATCACAACAATCCTAATTAACCCAAATATTTCTTCCTAATTTGTTTCTTCATTGCTTGTAGCACCGCTAGATCCTCAGGCGCCAAACCATCCTCGCTCGTCCGAAAAATTGACAACTGATGTGTCATTAGTTCTCTTTCTTTTTGCTCCTGCTTCTCCCGTGTCTTCCTTTCTAGGAACTCCAAATGACGACGTTTCAAGTCATTTTTTTCTTTTATTAATAAATTGTGTTCGTCGAATTTCGCACTTATTTTCGCCGCCTCTTTTGCTTTCGCCTCAACCTCCATCGCATGTCTTGCAGTGCCCCTTGCTTTGTCGCGTCTGAGTGGTCGTCTTGGTGGGGATATCTCCTTGATATCATCCAGAATCTCATCGGTGTCAGCGTTTAGGTCGATGTGAGTTCGTGTGTCTAACACATCGACCGAGCTCGAATTGCGAGACCTTTGGGATTGAACCTCCAACGATGTAAGCGTTTTATTCCACCTTGGATTCGCTTGCAACAACTCTCATGATTTTTCAAAGTCGAAAACATGTCCCATTTCGACCCGATATAGTTCCTTAGCAGATTTGAACAAATCAAAGTTGTTGGTTCCTCTTTGCTGTTGCGCCTCAAGCCAATTATAAATATTGTAGAATTTGCTGCACCGCTTAGTTATTTGACCCCATTTGTTGTTCAACATGTCATTGTTGCGATACGGAGTTTTCTTTAAATTGGCGAGAAACTTGTCGATCACCGGCCCACAGTAAGCTCCTTTTTATTCCATTTTCATGGAGTTCATCTTTTGAAGTAGTACATCAAGCCGCCGTCAAAGCATATTCCTCATCCGGTGTCCACCATTGTGGAACATCTTCATTTTCTATTTCAACCGCTATCGATTTCCCTTTCGATTTTCCTTTCCCTTTCCTTCTCATATTACCTCCCACTTCCACTTGAACCGATGGTTATGTTGTAGGCGATGGTTGGTTGGTTGTAGGCGATGGTTGGTTGGTTGTTTGTTCCATCGAAGCAAAAGTAGGGAAAAGATTTTGTTGTAAATTTTGGTTTTGACCAAATAATTTTTGTTGAAGGTAAGGTGAGTTAGGAAATTGCAGTGGGGGTGAAGCGGGATTGAATTACATAATGAAAACACCTAAAGCTTCTAAGGCTTCTTTGATAGAATCAACCCATAAATATATCGAAAACTTATTTTTATTGAAACATAAACTCCAAACAACTTGAGTTCTAGGTTTATTTCCTAGCAAATGGGCAATTTCGCATGTCATGATTCACCAACTTATTACAAATTAAACATCTTTTTTTTTTCGAACCCTACTTGCATTCGTTGGAGGAGGATCCATTTGAACATTGAAATCGTTGTTTGGTTGTTGCTGAAAAAAAAAATATATGATACTAACACATATTGTATCGAAATTGTTAATTAGATAAACAAAAACTATAATTCATTTGTACCTGATATTGATTATTATTCGGATGCTCCATTGCAATTTCAAAGAAAAAAACGAACGAGGATGATATACATGAATTCAGACGTACAGAGAAAAAGAGAAAAATATATGGGTTAAAGGATAATGAATACAAATTAAAATTATATTTATAAAAAATGTATTTGTATATATTTCAAAGA